GTAACATAACACACACAGTTGTGTACTTAAATTTTGGTAAAAATGATAAGCAATGTCTATGTTATTAACAAACAGTCAATGGAGAATAAACATATAGAGCTCAGGCAAACGTTAATTGCCGTTACAAAAATGACAGTGTTATTATTAGATATTTTTATTCCTTATATAAAAATTGAGAAAAAAATGTACAAATTTTTCAACTTAAAATTACGATGCTCTATAACTTTTTTAAAAATAGTCGAAAATGTTCCAAATTTATATGAATTGTTCCTCAAATATAGTACTATCGATAAACATTAACAAACCAAAAAAAAAATCATAAACCCTTTCCCTTATAAGGGATAGAATTTTTTTCTTTATTTCACTTTTTCAAGCAAAGTTTTAGAGATTTAGATCTGAAAATTAGGCCGAAGGTAGATCTACAATGGAACTACAACATATACAATTTCTTTAAAAATCTGTAAAATGAAAATATTTTCATTATATTTTTAATTACGATACATGGGTAACTATGACAGTACATTTTTATAGACAGACGATCAACCCTTATCGTATCCACCCTGCACAAGACTAAATAATAAATTAATACAAAAAAATGTTTTACTCAAATATTAATATATTTTTTTTTAATGCGATTTTTTGAATTTATTTATTCGAATAGTTGAAATTTGATATTATTTGGCATCCCTTCTGTCAGCAGAAGAACATTTAGATATTTTGTAGCATTTAGGTGTACTTACTGTAATCTGGTTATTGATTTATTCATCTAGATATTCTAATTTTCTGGACTGTCTTGGGCGTCCAAACTGTAACTAACACACACAGTTGTGTACTTAAATTTTGTAAAAATGTAAGGAATTTCTATGTTATTCACATTTTTAGTTTTTCTAGTTTTTCTAGTTTTTTTCTAGTTTTTCTATTTTATCTATCTTTTCTATCTTTCTATAAAATCTATAAAAACTAGACAAACTAAAAAACTAAAAAACTATTAAAAAATAGAAAAACTAGATATAGTTTTTTAGTTTTTCTAGTTTTATGGGTTTTATAGGAGAAGATAGAAAAGATAGATAAAATAAAAAACTAGTTTTTCTAGTTTTTCTAGAAAAACTAGAAAAACTAGAAAAATTGAAAAACTAGAAAAACTAGAAAAAATTGAAAAACTAGAAAAACCTGAAAAACTAGAAAAACCTGAAAAACTTGAAAAACCTAAAAAACTAGAAAAAATTGAAAAACTAGAAAAACTAAAAAAAGTTTTTCTACTTTTAATTTTTTTTAGTTTTTCTAGTTTTTCTAGTTTTTGAATTTTTTCTAGTTTTTTAGTTTTTCTAGTTTTTCAGGTTTTTCAAGTTTTTCTAATTTTTCTAGTTTTTCTATTTTTTCTATTTTTTCTAGTTTTTCTAGTTTTTCTAGTTTTTCAATTTTGAAAAAAAAGAAAAACAAGAAAAAATTGAAAAACTAGGAAAACCTGAAAAACTTGAAAAACCTGAAAAACTAGTAAAAATAGAAAAACTAGAATAGTAGTTTTTTTAGTTTTTTAGTTTTTCTAGTTTTTTATAGGTTTTATAGAAAAGATAGAAAATATTGATAAATTAAAAAACTATAAAAACTAAAAATGTTTTTTTAGGTTTTCAATTTTTTCTAGTTTTTCCAGTATTTCTAGTTTTTCTAGTATTTCTAAATTTTCTAGTTTTTCTAGTTTTTCTAGAAGAGTTTTTAGTTTTTTAGGCACTTAAAAATCTAGAGTAACTAAAAACTATAAAAAGCTAGAAAAACTAGAAAATCTTGCTAGTATCTCTATAAAAACTAGAAAAACGTTTCTAACTAGTTTTTCAAGATTATCATTCTTGACTAGTATCATAATCTTTTTCCCTTAGAAGAAATAGAATTTCATTCTTTATTACACTTTTTCAACCAAAGTTTTAGAGATTTTGATCTGAAAATTAGACCAAAGGTAGATCTAAAATGGAACTATACATATACGGTTTTCTCAAAAATCTGTTGTCTAATTTTTTTTTTTTATTAAGGAAAAACTCCAAAAATAGGGTTAATTTACACTTTGGCCGTAGTCAGTTTCTAGGTTGCTATGTGTGTGTGAACCAACAGTCAACAGGTAATGAAATTTTTTCATTATTTTGTTAATAATGATAAATGGGTTACTATGACAGTACAATTTTATAGACATACGATCAAACCTTATCGTACCCACCCTGCACAAGAGTAATAATAAATTTTAAGTACATTTTTGCTGGTCCCACGATATCTTCTAAGCCGCTATAACTGGTTTGAACATACTATCCACAGATTCGCATCAAAGCGTTTATTTAAAAGTGATTCATCACTTTCAGTTATAATAAAATCTGTAGACCTGTGACCATTCCGTCCCCACTATGCCCCGACCCCACTGTACTGGCTTTTTTTGTTTCTTAATACTTCTACCTTTTTTGTTATAAGGATGAAAATATACTCAGAAATAATTAACACTTTATAAAGATAAGTTAATCTCTTTAATAATAATAAAATAAGCACTTAAATAGACAATGGTTGACCGTAATAATGAACTGTATCATAGATAAACACAAACTGACCGACTGACAATTATACATAGTAAAAGCCTAGGTTATATACTAATATGCAAACTAAGTAAATGTATCAAACAACAGAAAAATAGGTTCAGCACTAGGATAACTTGTGTTTATAGAAAGTTAATGCGTATTAGGAAATAAAGTCAACCAATGATACATAATAGTCAAGCATAAAAACGTAAAGTCCCAAATGACATAGGTACCTAAATATAATATAATATAAACAACCCTGGGTTTCTTATACCAACTATTGCTTTATATAGGTCGGAATGTTGGGCCGTAGATAAGAAAACTGAATATAGAACAAGTGTAGTGGAGATGAGAATGTTAGGATGGACGATTGAAGTGACTAGGGTGGATAGAATAAAAAATGAATACTTAAGGGTAGTCTATGAGTTGAACCAATTGTGAGGGAAATGAAAGAGAATAGGTTGAGATTGTTCAGTCATGTTATGAGAAGGGATAAGGCAGAGGCAGAGGCAGTGAGATGTGTTATAAAGATGAGTGTAGAGGGAAAAAGACCTAAGAAAAGATGGATAGACGAATAAAGGATCGGTCAAACAGAAAGCAGACTGTCCGCCGCGTACTCTGTACTCTATTTAAATGCATCTTTCTGGTTAAACAGACCGCGGCCTACAACTGATGGTTGTATTTTTTCACAAAGTTCGCGGCGGACTGGAATAATTTTGTAAAATAAAAAAAATATAATATATATTTAATATAGACAATACACTGGATTTTCCACACGTATCAGCACTTCTAAAATATTTATTATATAATTATCGAACATAAAATATACAAACAATATTGATGACAACATATCGTAATTAATTTAAAAAAAAAATTTATTTTAAATTTGTGCACTGAAAATGACCGATGAAACGGAACGATTGATTGATCTAGTTCGAGAATGTGTTTATTTGTGTGATACGTGGCATCCAGATTATAAAAAAAACAGAAAAATGGACAGATTCGACAAAAGACTGGTATCAACACTTCACAAAAATGTAAAATTTAATACAATTTTTCAGCCGAGTTTGCAACCACGAATGAGCATTTTCATGTCTCGTTGAAGTACCAAATAAATTTGAAGTAGTAGTGGAATTATAGATAATGGTAGATAATGATATAGTATATTAACAAGCAGTAACAAGCTAATACCTAAGGTGGCTAGTATATTAAAACATCAAGTTTCTGGCTAATATTTTAGTGTTTAAAATCTGGCTTAAAACAATTCATAAAAATATGACCTCTTAAATTATTGAATTCAATTTAGTTCAGTTCTAGTTTGAACGTTGAGAATACAGCATAGTCGGTGAAACTCCCCAAATTCTATTCTTTTGTTATTTAGTTCATGTACCCGTTTTCTTTTTTGTCGTCTTGCTTAACTCAAGGCAAGCAGAAGAATCTAGACATTTCGTAAAAGAAAATGAAAACAGAAAACGTGAGATAAATAGTAAAAAATAAAAAAACAACCAGCAGTACACTTTTGTGTACATAAGAAGATATAAGCCGATTTTTTAGCAGTGCCCCAACAAGGGTGGGCATCGACAAAGTCACAAATTATAAAAAATGTTTAAAGAATGAAAGATTTCTTTTGGATCCCTAAGACAAGAAAAAAAATTCTCTTTCAGTATCTAAGATATGTCTCAGATTGCTGTATGATTAGACAGTTTTAATCATATGGCCTAATATTGAAATTTGATATGGAAGTCATTTAATGAGCTTTAATGAATAAATATATATACTTTTCAATAAAAAGTCACCTCTTTTTTGTTTTTATAAGAACCAAATTTAAACTTTATAAAATTAATGTAAAATTATCATAGCAAAAAATATGGCATATTTTTCGCTCAACTCCGTAATTTTTCCATTAGTTTATCAAACACATTTTGTGAAATTTCATTATCAAAAAAAATTGATAATATAATCGATAAGAGCAACAAACATTTTTTGGCCTATTCTTGAACCCTATAATACCAGTTAAGGGTTAAAACATCACTATTATTGTCTAACATCTTATTTATATTACCTAGCTATAAGACATATCCATGTCCTAAGTAAACCGACGAATGCTTTAAATTCAATCATATCTAAATGGTCTACAAAAGTGGTTGATATGCCATATTTTTCGCTCAACTCCGTAATTTTTCCATTAGTTTTATCAAGTATATTCGATAAGAGCGACAAATATTTTTCTTGGCTTATTCTTGAAACCTATAATACCAGTTAAGGGATAGAATGTCACTATTATTGTCTAACATCTTATTTATATGGATTTCTAAATTCTCCTTTGATCCAACCGGTGCGGTGCTGGTGTTTTTCCTAATGTACGAAATAATAACAGATATACGACGACGGTATTGGTTATAATAATAGTTTATTAATGAATATACTTGTATATTGATATCGAAACATTTAGATTAAATCTGTAACTCTCTCCAGTTCTGTTTTATACAATCCTGACGGAAGTAGCAGATCTACATAATACTCCATTCGTGTCTCGTAGGTTGGCAAAACGCCGTCTGCCGTAATCGTCCCCTCAAACACTATAATGCAATTTAATACTTCATTACATCCTTGTGTATATCTAAACCCAGGATTTAATGCACGCGTTATTATCCCGAGCAATTTGCATTTTGTGCTTTCGCCATTCTTGCACATTCGGGTGTCATCTGAAACCATACAATATAATAATTATTGAATAGAAATAAAATCGTTAAATACTACAAATTTATGACAAGAAATAATAAAAAGTATATAAAATATTCCGAATCTAACTAAGTGTTAAAAAATAAATACATTAGCTTTTGCTTGAATCATGTGGTTGCTATTGCTGGACTTTAGACTACAGTCATTGTTCTACTCATTTAAACGTATTTTTGTTTTTATTGTTTACCCATACTAGATACCAACATACGCATAGATAGGTTAGGTATAGGCCAAAGTTTTGTTGTAACGACGTTTTAAAAGTAGCGATAAATATTATAAAAATGCTTACTCATTTGACGATGTAGAACATGGTGGAATATATTATGTATCAGCGTATGTCTGTTGTTTACTGCCGTGTCATAGTCAATTGGGTCTATAATATCATACAGATGATGTATTTAGTTTTATTTTTAACATTAAAATTATACCATGTAAACTATAAATAAGAATTTTCAACTTTTTCAATTGACCATTATTAATATGGTCTTATTTAAGCACATTGTACAACTGTAATATTCACTCAAATACTACCTAAATAATTGTTCTGGAGAAAACTGTTATACATACCACTTAAATCAATTGTTGGCTCTTGTACTGTAACAAAGTATAGTATATCCCGTTCTTGGGATATTACTAAATCAAAAGCTATAATCAAAACATTAAATCCCCATTAAAATGTGTCATTTTATGTAAAATTTCACTGCCTAACATAAAATATCACAAAAAAAGGTCATTAATAATCATAGTTACTATTAATTATAAGTTATGCAGACGATAATTTTTTACCTTTCGCCCTGCCTCTGTTTACCAATAACGCAGGAACTAAAAAAAAGATTCGATTTTATAATGATACTGTTAATACGTGCCATATATATTTAAGTAATCGACAAAATCTTTTTAATTAAAAAATGAAACTTTTATGTACATTTTGTGTTTAATCAAATTTGGTTTTGATATAAATTTACCAGCTTGTAATATTAATTGAATAATAATAACACCGGTAATTTTAGAAAAAAAAAAACAATTTAAAACTACATCTTTAGTATATTAACATGTAGAATTACGGATATCCTCTAAATAGTTTGTTAGTTATAAATGTGTACTGTTAATGAAATGTAATAAAAGTCAAATACACGTTAGTACTAGAAAACATACACAATAATACTTGATATTCGACGCACAATTTAAGTAAAAATAAGATCAGATAAAGAGAATATCATGCATCGGCAAGTCGTATCATCTTATACCATTTAACATCGATCATAGGTATATTATTAATAGTAATGTAATTTGTATTATCATTAAACATTGTGATTTTGATTATATACATGTATACATATTAGGTATAGCTTGAAAGAGGAACTGAAAAGGTGATATCACAAAAACTAATCAATTTTTTCAATCTTGGATACAGATTTGTGAGGGATTTTCATTCCAACATACCTAATAGTAATAACTTACAATAATATATATATTATACACATTATTACTAACAACGTTTTAAAGAATACTGTCTAATACAGGGTGTCTCACAAAGATTAGAAAAATGAGATAACTCTTGTTCTAGTGAATGGTGTAAGATTTGTTTTTTAAATAAATTTATACTCATTTGCACTATAAAATAAAAACGAGGTTTTTTTTTATCGCAAATAACTGTTTTCGGTTTTTAATAACTTTTATATATATTATTCAGAAAAATTTGATGAATATTTAGACTCGTCGATAACCAGTTTTTAATAATTTCTTTAATTGTTATTTAAATTTAAAGTTAGAATTGGAGGTGCATTGTGGTAGGTCCAGTTCACTACTTTGCAGGTCTATGATATTACCTAATCATATAAAACAATTGTAAATTACCTGGCGGAAAAATCAAAACCTGAATTCGCGCTGAAAAAACACAAATAATTTGCTTAAAAAAAAAAAAATTAGTGCATGCGAGTTGCGTGAACGTTTAATGAATTAATACAAATTTAACGGTTCCTTAGACATCAATTTTTAAATGAACGATTAAATGTACTGATAAAGTGTACAACATGACAAACGGTATTGATAGTACAACAAAACTATACGGTAAGCAATGGCAATTTAATAGCCTAATATTGTAAAAACGAGTTTACTGAAAACAAAAATATTAATTTACACATAACAATACCATATGAGTATGCACGAATGAGACCGTTGACCAGTTGGTATTTTTGATCTGGAATCAAAGAACAAAAACAAATTATTAATAAATTCGTTAAATAAACTTAGCAATTACAATTCAATATTTAATAAAACATTAAAGTGAGGTAGACATAGCACAGATAGTCTATAATTTTAGTGGAGGTTGAAGAAGTTTAGGGAATTTTAACAAAGGTGTGTTATGTGTTATTTTCACTACAAAAATGACTAAATAAATCATGAAAACAATTGCATACATTAAACCGATACCTTTAAAGCTAACACAAACTAATCTACAAAGTCAAAATATATTTAAAACACGTATAGATCAAATAGATCATGTAATGGTAGACTACCGAATTAGATTAAGCACAAACGACGTATTAATAATGATAAGTGTACACAGAAAATTAACAAAGAAATATTGAAAGGAAACTAGGCCAAAGATTACAAAGAAAAAATAATTGAGTAGTTAGATGCCTCAGATAATGTTACCTACGGATATAATTTACATTTGGAAAATAAATGGAAACTGCAGTCAAAAGATCCGCAGAAGAAGTATTAGGCCATGAACTAAGGAGAAGAAGAAAATTATGACTTTTATTAACAATGAAATGAAGGTATTGTCGAAAGATAGAGATAGAGCACGTTTAAAAGTGGTACATGACCTAACATCCATCTTTTAAGTACAATGATAGTTAAGTAGTAGTAAGAAAATTAGCTCATACTGTAAGTTATAGCATACTGTACTAATTTAGGAGACATACATATAATAATTATGATGTGATCATTATGGATTAGATAGTAGTATTTTCAATTATTAACAATATAAATGCAGGAAATTGGTTAAAATAACAGGAAAATCTAAACGTGCTGAGATAGAATTCTGCCTTATTATATTAAACGTATGGCGCCGTTTACAGTTTAGATTGTGCCTATTTTTTGTTTTTTTTTGCCAAACTTCATATTTCCTGTAAAATGATTTTTTTTTCCTTAATTATAATATACTATATTATTAAATATATAAACACTCACTGTCAGTTAAAATGCTAAGTTTGTTGTCTAAAAACAAAACAAATTTTACATAATTAACAAATACAATAAACAATGTAGTCAAAGCGATCATAAAAGGCTGGATACACAAAAAAAAACTCGTTCGTGTCACGGGACACGCGTTTGGAACGAAGTCCCTTTCGTATGAAGGTTTGGCATAATTAGTCATTAACGTGCTAGGCTCTTATTCTCTCTACCCACCCCTCTCTTTAATTTTTATTACTGATGCAATAAATAACTATATTTATAAATTTATTTGCAATATATATATATATAAATATATATATTTGTTTTTAAAAGTAGTAGGAATAATATATCAAAAATGTACGTCAACCGATCTCAAGTACATTTCACGACGAATTCAAATCTGTTTTCATATTACTTATCAGATTAGTGGTTGAACCTGTGCGATGGAACAAAAAATGTATCGTATATTGACTAAAATGACTTTTACTCATAGACAAAATGATTTAAATTAAAAATAATACCTTGAAGCTTATACAAATTAACCGGTCAATTTATTGACATTGTCAAAATTTATTTAAGCCAATTTTTTCTTAAATATTGCCTATACAAAACTCCTTAAAAATGGTCTGTATGGAGCCCCCTTGACTAAAGTTAAATTTTTAAGTCACGTTTACTTTATAAATGTTTGACTTTGCTAAAATAGTTTAAATAAGGAAGTATAGAGTATTTTTATTATATATACATGTCAGTTCAAATTAAATTTAAGTAAAAAAATATAGGCAGTTATTTACAGGCAATTTAATTTGTTTGTGATCAGGACAAAGCGTTAAATTATTTAATGAATTTGAAACAAAAATAGTTCAACAAAAAGTAACACAATATAACGACACAAATGAATAAATTTTCAATTCCATATAATGAAATAACGTTAAAATTGCCTAAATGACTTTAAAAAAAATAACAATAATTTTAACTCACTGGTCTTACAAATCTTAACACGGCATTCTGGAATAATAAATTATATTATCATAATTTCGTAAAATATCAAATTGTCAGTGAGGTCACAGTTCTACAGTAATTATTATAGCTGAAAGTGATAAAAATCCTCTTAAATAAATGCTTTGGTGCGAATCTGTAGGTAGTATGTTTAATCCATTGCATTCCAAACTAAGCACTTTTAGAAAGTGTTAAAGGGTCTAGTGTGCCAAAATTTGCATCGAAGCGTTTAATTAAAATTGATATAGTTAGAGATAAATATGAGTCTTATAAATCTCAGTTCCGCAACGATACTAAAAAAATTTAATAAAATATGATTCAAATATTTAGGTAGTACCGTCTTGCGTTGCGCATTTTATATTGTTTATAACAATGCAAATAGTAACCGCAATTAAACAGAAAACTTGTAGCTTAGTCATTTTCAATCAATACCTAAAAAAAAACAGTATAATGTCAAATTCAATAGTAATACATAAAATATGTGTTTAAACAAAATTGCAGTAAAGATACTTTTTGGAGTATTCTAGAACTATAACATGGATAGTCCATATCTTCTTCTTTTTTGCCTTACACTCCCAATTACATGGGGTCGGCCACCCTAGTCCTTCCATAGTTGATTTCCCTGGCATAAACTCAAATTGATTCTTCGATATTTTCTTATCTACAATCTATTGCCAAACCTTCATACTATGACTAATCAGTTTTATACCTCTAAAATTGTCACACTCCTGCACATCTTCCTTGCCCTTAAATATTGGTATCAGATTACTTTTATCCACAAATCCGTCATTTTCCCATCTATATACCAAAACCTTATTAAGGAAACCTGTCAACCACCCTAACATGGATAATCATACAAAAAATATTAATATATTATCATCTCACTCAAGAAACAGAATGTAGAAAACCAATGTGGTGTGTTTGTTTCCGGATAATGTTTTTAAAAAATGACCATCCTAAATTTGTCCTTATCCGAAATTATTGTATATTATTTAAATTTATCACACTTTAGGTAGGTCTTTTGTAAAACAGGAGTTAAGTAATTTGCCCACGTCATTGTTATGAAAACAGCAAATAATTTCTATTTTTTATTAAAGGACTTCATAAATTCTATTATTCTAATATTTTCTAAATTCGATTGCCATTTAAGTAGCCCAAATCACGGAGTACAAATTTAGAGTAGTGCATCATTCGAATAAGACATTACATAAGTCTAACATTTAAATACCAAATTTTTCGAGTAAAAGTTATTCAAATTCTTTTTTATTCGAATAGTTTTTAAAAATATATATTAATATATTTCATTCGACTAACTTGTAAAATAATTATTCGAATAAATATATAAAAACAATAATCGAATAATATTAAATTTAATTTTAGATTTTAAAAGTTAGGAGGCGGGGGGATAGACGTAGATAAAAATATTACTACACTCCGCCTTTTCTTCTGCCCTAAACTTGACATTTCAATAACTTTAAAAATAATTATCCAAAACTGGTTATCGACATGTCAACATTTTTAGTACTTTATTCTCAATCTAATAAGTTAATGAAATAGCTGTTGTTCATAACTGGTTTTATATTGTGAGTTATTTTGTAATTTAAACTTTGTTCAATAGTAGTGTGTGACACATACATTTTATAATTTTTGACATTTTTATGTCTTTGCTATCGCACACACGCGGAAAAACGACACCGACACCGGTTATCACAAAGAAAAATAACAGCTGATTGGGGGTGAGAGATAGGGGGTAAGAGATGAGGGTTGGGGTGAGAATAGGGGTGAGAGATAGAAAGTAAGAAATAAGGGTTCAGGGTGGGAATGGGGTGCGAATAGGTATGAGAGATAGGGGTAAGAGATAGGGGTGTGAGATAGGGATGAAAGTTAGGGGGTTTGAGATAGGGTTGAGAGATAGGGAGTGATAGATAGGGGGTAAGAGATGAGGGTTGCGGTTGTGGGTGGGAATGTGGTAGGAGCATATATGTTGTATTCACGACGTTCAAAATAGAAATGAATAATAAATTCAATAATTTAAGGGGCCGAATTCTCTATGAATTGTTTTGGGTCAGATATTATAAAAACACTAAAATATTAGCCAGAAACTTGATATATTTACTAGCCACCTTAGATACATAAAAATGTATGCCGTGGTGTTGCGGACTCGTACGCAAGCTGTTAAAATACAATATGTAATACCTATGTGAAAACCTTGAATAGAGCCTTGCAAACCATTCGGTTTATAAACCGTTTTTTAGATATTTTCGCGTACCCCTACTAATTTTTAATCCAACCATACTATTATTCGAAATTTTAAAAAAGTGGAGTTAATCGGTTTAGAATCTGAGCGCCTCAAATATAGAAATATAACTTTTTTATTCAAAAAGACTTATTCGATTAGATTTAGAAAGATTTATTCGAATAATATCCAATTTTTTCATTTGAACAAATAAATAACACGGATAATTATTTTAAAAAATATTATTTAAATAGTTTGTAAGTGTTTTTTTCAAGAAATTGTGTTTGGAAATATTATTGCGTAGAATTCTAATATGTTCTACATTTAGGAAATATATAAAAACAGTATATTATATAGAAATATTTTATTTTATTCGAATAGTTTTAAAAATAATTATTTAAATTTTTTTTTTCATTTGAATAAATTGTGTAACGCTTTTTTTAATAAATTTGTATGCGAGTAACTATATTAAATTAATTTATCAGTACCACCCAGACCGGCATAAATATATTGTATTTATAAATGCATAGTATTTTCAATTTCGGATCAGACATTTTTTGTGTTAAAAAAACTTGGAGATTTTGGTTAATCTGATTGCAAAACTTTGATTTGAGATAATATAAGGTATGTCTACTGTGAGGGTTCTAAAAACTATTATTTTTTTATAGTTTAACTACTCATATTACCTGTTATGATTTGACAAATTGTTGGATTCGTGTACGTTACTGAAATGAACAAAATCAAGTGTTGGTGTAATAACAGTGATCGTACCTTCTGTATAAATACAACGTAGTTATAGGCGAGTCGCATAAAACACCGAAAACAAATCGGCAGAACCGTATTTTTGCCGAAAAATAAATTATCCAGAAACACAAACTAACAGAACTGTATTTCCACCGAACTACAAATATAAGAACAGTAGTGTAGCCGACACTTATTTTAGTCGAAAATAAATTGTAAACATTGTTTTTAATTTAATTAACACTATTTATGTAAGTTGTAGAGACTGATAGCCATTACTTAA